GAAAACGCACCCCCTGTTTGTCAAGGAAAGTCGTCTTCCTTTCGGGGCCATGCCATCCACTTTCATCTACCAGGTCCAGTTTGCCATGTCTAAATGAAGGAAAGTAGTCTTCCGACCAAATAGAGCGATGGCCTCCACCCTACTAGCGATGGCCAACCCAATAGAGTCTTGAAAGATGCCATTGCCATTTTCCACTTTCATGGTCAGGAACAAGTGCATCGCTACTAGTAACAAGTGCCTTACTAGTAGTAACAAGAAGCTATTAGTAACAGGTGCATCGCTACTAGGAACAAGAAGCTATTAGAATTAGTGTACCGACCAAATGTGCCACTTCCGGGTGCCCCAAACCGACTCTCCACCGTCAAATCTCGAGCCATGACGATGCCTCGGCAACGGATAGCTGTACGAGGTTTAAAGAGTACACATAGTACACCATGCCTGTGTGGGCTTTACGATGGCTGTACGATGACTGCAACTGATGGCTCTATATGTTTTCGAACCACTCCACTTTCGGCGTATTTAAAAGTCTCTGAGCTGCCTTTGTTCTATGATGTTGATTGATTTTGTCACATCAGGTGTTGCTACTCGTTGAGTATTACCTGTCTCGAGTAGAAATCTGTACACATGGATTCCAGTTGAAGAACACGAGTTGAGATGGCATGATCTTGCTTCGCTGGAGCCGATTCCCCTACATGATTGTAAAAGCTGTTTTAATTGCTTTTGCTTTTGATAGTTCTGCTTCTATGGGAGGTCCACTGCTTTCACTAGTTCAGTGAAGGAATCCTGCAACACCTTCTTGCACAAAGAGCGTGACTCAACTGTAACTTGTCTCATCCCTCTTTGGGAACCCGGTCGGCGGATGGAGTCTGCAATGGCCACAGTCCACAGGACGGAAGACAGGCCAAAGAAGATGCCTGCCAAAGGTGAGCCTTGTGGGAAAAAGAGATGAGATGGGTTTGTTTAACATAAACTTGGCTGTTCATACATTTGGGGTGCCCTCTTTAAATAAGCAACCCATGATGCCTTTCGCAGCTCCAAAACTGTGTGTCTGCGCGACTCAGTTAGAACATGTTGGTCGCACTCATCTAGGAGCTTGATCACCAAGGTCTTTGACACATCTCAGCTTCTCCATGCAAAAACAGTTTGTACAAGACGGTCATCGAGGTCAACCTCGAAAGCAGAGAGGCTCAAAGCTGCGCCTAACATTGACTGCACCACACACTTGGTATAGTGCGGACGTTCAAATTCACCTGACAAGCTGCTTGATTGGAGTCTGCACCTCCCAGAGGTGTCCACAGTTATTTTCAGACTTTCAAAGCACCCCCTCCTACCAACCAGAAGGCTATTTCCATCTTTTTCGCATCCTATTAGGCAAGTTCATCTGGGCTCATGCAAGAAGTCGATGACTACGCTGGCTGTCCACTCCGAATTGGACCTCACCTGAGGCCAGGACCCATGAGAAAGGAAGTACAAAGCCAAAGATCACTGATGGCCAAGTAGAGCACCAAGCGCGCAAAGTAGCGCCTTCGGCGCCGAGAAACCACGTGAATCTTGTGGGTCCACTTCACCCGGGGAGGAGGACGAAGGGAGTCAACGACAGCTCGGCAACCCATGAAAATCATCGATTTCACGGACCAGCTTGCTACTAGTTACTAGTAGTTGCACCTTGCTGCTAGTAGCTTCCTGTTCCTAGTAGCAATGCCAGGAGCTACTAGTAGCTTCGTGTTACTAGTAATGAGTGAATAGAGCAAGTCGTTGTACAACTGCTAATTTAGGATCAATACTCAGTGAATATGACCATAATTTGAGACAAAAGAATTAGTTTTTTGACAAGGATTTTCGATTAGTACTACACCATCTGTCCCTGAAAAGACTTGGCAAAGCCCGGCTGTTCTGAAGACCCCCCGCTGTTCTCCCTTGCAGGTCATATTGAGTGAAGGAGAGGAGTGGAGGCAAAGGCAAGCCCAGGCAAGCAAGTAAGCATGAAGATATACCAAACAAGCATAAACAGCAATGATTGTCAAAAACAAACGGACGGGCAAACGGTCAAGCGAGCAAACGAAGCCGAATGTGGGCAAGTTTACTCCTGACTCACAATAAAAGGGGCAGGGGGCGCAAAAAAGGGTGAGATGGCCAGCATGTGAATGGACACTGTAGCCACAAGTGTCGCTCGCTGAGGCCAACATGCAGATGTATGTAAAAACTGCACAGGACACCAGTGCTTTTTGAAACAATAAGCTACTAGGAACAAGTGCATCGCTTCTAGTAACAAGTGCCTTACTAGTAGTAACAAGAAGCTATTAGAAACAAGTGCCTTACTACTAGGAGCAAAAAGCTACTAGGGGCTCCTGGCCTTATTGGAAACAAGTGCCTTACTACGAGCAAGAAGCTACTAGGGGCTCCTGGCCTTACTAGTAGTAACAAGA